TAGATGTAGATAGATATATAGGTAGAGAATATACATATATTCATAGAGACTGATGCTTTGTAGCTATAGACAAAAGACTCAATGTTCTTATGCTTCAGAATTAGTATAAAGATTAAATAAGTCATACACGAAGTACTTTGAACTTTGCTTGGCTTAGTGTAAGGGCACAATAAATCTGCATCATTATAACACACCCTTGCAATAGCACTAATCACATTATAAGTGTTGTGAGAGTTATTCTTCCCCCATAGACTATAGGAGATCGTGCTTCATGCATCATTGCATTTTCAGGCGGGAGCACAGTGACTGGCTCATAGTGGACATGTAATAGATAGTTAATGAATGAATGACTCTTTGTTTCCTTCACAACTCCCAGCATGTGGTAGGTGTTCAAGAAATATCCACTGACTTGAATTCAATAGAACTGAATTGATCTGGAGAGAATATAGAATAGGAAGTGTCTTGATATTAGGTGAGGCATAATAAGTTTAAATTTTAAGGTGAGAGCAACTTCCCTTGAGGCTCTTCCTTATAGTTGAATCTAAACTGATGTATAATTCTACATTCTTAGCAAGTTCAGAATCATTTTTTCTCTATTTTTTTGCTTTCCAGTGTCAGTTTCCACATTCTGTCAACTGTTTTTATCCTCACAACATTGCTTAGATCACCAGAAGTCACCTGTTTTCATTTTTGTCAGTTAGCTATTGCTGAATAAAGAATAAACACAAAATCTCAGTGGCATACAGCAAAAAGCATTTTTCCCATGTGTCCATGTGTCAGATAGTTTAGACTGGACAGCCCTGCTTTGAGCTGTAGGTCTGACTGGCTTTGCCTCATCATTGATGGTTGGCTTCTGTTCTGTGCCACACATATTTACTGTAGAGCCCAGACTGAAGGGCCAGTAGCTACCCAGGGAAGCTCTTGTCTCGGCCACAACAGAAAAGCAAGCAGGAAAGCAGAACATCTGTATTGCTTCTTAAGGCCTCAGACAGGAACTGACACATTGTCATTTCTACTCACACTACATTGTCCAAAGCAAGACACATGGCTAAGCCTAGCATCAGAGAAGTGGAGGAAATAAAATGCTACCCACTCTAGTGAGTTTTGCCACAGTCACATGGCAAATGATTTAAATGTATAAATGTAATTGAGAGAACATAAGAATTGTAAGCAATGATTAAATTTACCACACCTCTGTCTCCTGATTCTGGTCTCCACAACATCTTTCCCAGGTGATCACAATAGCCTCTAATCTCCTCATGTCCAATCTGCCACATGATTTGTGCTCCAGATTTGATTATGAGCCTCTTTGTTGCAGGTGATAGAATACCCTGTTAAAAATGACTTATCTTATACAACAAAAAGCCTAGAGAAAGTGTTTTAGGATTGGATTGAAAGTTCAACAATGTCACTGAAGTCTCAGTTTTTTTTGTAAATTTAGGTCTTTTTTTATCATTCTATCTTTTGTTTACACTTTTGTTGCCTCACAGAGACAAGGTTGCTGAGGTAGCCCCAAACATCACATGATTTCACAGTGATATTCAAAGCAGAAGAAAAAAAGAAAAAGTGTGTCTTCACACACCTTTTATCAGGGAAAAAATCTTCTCTTGTAGCTCCCCAAGTCACTTCCCCTGATGTTTCACTGACCAAAACTATCTAATCGCCCAAAACTGTAAGAGAAGCAGAAGTCATTGGAGAACACTTCCAGCTTCTGTCTTACAAGTGGACTCTAAACATGAGAAAGTTGGAAGAGAGAAGCATGTATTTAAAAAATCAATGGTATCTGCATGCTCTCAGATAATTTAACCTACCTGACTTAGTGTTTAAGATCATTCATAACACAATGTTTATCATTTTTTAAAGCCTAACACATCAAAATTTCTCTACACAAGGAAGAGTGAATATTCCCCTCAGCACAGTACATTCATCCTATCATTCTTCCCATCGCCAATGTGTTTGTTTTCCCCTCCCCCACCTTCCCCAAGTGCCCTTTGTCCCCTCTCTTGACTCTCCAGTTTCAGTCTTCCTTACTCTTAAGGATTCAGCTCTTCTCTGGGATTCTTCCACAGATGCTCAACGCTGGTCCAGTGTCCCACCACATCTTCCCATTGCATCTGTGCTTCCCATTGCATCTGTGAAAGTTAGAGAAGTTTTCATGATGAAGTGTTTCTACCAGTTTGTTTATACACTGCCCTACTAGGCAAGAAACTTTGAGACCACAGGTAATGGGTCTCAGTTTTTACATTACCAATACCTTTCCTAGCTCCTGGCACACAGCAGGCACTCAGGATTTTCTTTTGCAAATAACTAAATAAATCAAAGAGTTAATGCCCTAGAATGCTTTCATGTCTTTCTGTATCTACCTAATGAAAGGAAATGTCTCCAGATTTTAATATACACTACTTACGGGAATCTATTTTTTTGTAAGTAACTCTTAACCTCACAAATGTCTCCCACTCCTCACCACACACAATCCGTATCTGCACTAAATGTCACAAAAGGACCTGTACTATAGGATGCCTTTCTTAGCATTTAGTATCTTTTCTGACATCTCTTATATTCTGTTTTGAGCATTATTTGACTTACATTAGCTCTTCTAAGATTACGAACTTCTTGATTATTTTTTATAATCTAACATACATACCTCATTGCTATAAAGATAGAAGGTAATAAATATTTGTGAAATTGATTTGAATTATTATTTTCATTAAAGGGCTTTATAGTTTATAACAATTCTTTCTGGCTATAAATCCAGAGTAAATTACTGTGTCTGTAGTTCTGGGTTATTTTTCTAAAATACTTTATGTCATTCTTTCTTATGATGGTAGCTCACTAATTTGAATATATCTCTGATATTTAACCAAGTATTCAAAGCAAATACCCATGATTATATTCTACTCTCTACACTTGGTGAGGTGTTTTGAATTCATCTTCTTTTTGTCTCCTGAATGAAAGCACACATTTTCATATCACAGTGCATTATTATTAGTGCTTTAGCCTTAATTGTTCCCTCTCTGCTGGGTTGTCCCAAATTTGAGTCACCAATTTTTCTAACAAATGGATAAAAATCATGACATCCCTGAAGTCTCATCACACTCCATTATGACTATCCTTTTGTAATAATAAATTATTTAGCTTTCTATTATGTGGCACTTTATATTTTCTCCTCAATTCTGCTACAAATAATTTTTAAGTTTATTGAAAACCTCCACTGATGACTCAGATGATGTCTTGCAGTCCATTGTTCAATAAATGTTTATTTAACTTCTAGTATATGCCAAACACTGTCCAGTTACTGAGGATCCAGTAATGAAAGAAACAGGTATAGTCTGACTCTCCTGAGTTTCACATTCTAAGCAAGGGAAGCAACTTACCAGTAAACACTTCAGTGTAATATGCCAGGTGGAGAGAAGTGCTCTCACATAAGTAAGGCAGGGAAGTGACATGTAGAATATCTGTTGGCAATGGTCATCATTTTTTTTAAAAGATAGGTAGGAAAGGCTACAGTCAGAAGGTGGTGTTTGATCAGGAGCCTAGAGCCATGGATTCCCTGCAGAGGAAGTCAGTGCAAAGTTCAGAGGCAGAAGTGTGGACAAGGATCAGCAATGTGGACAGAGAGGCTTCAGGCAAGTATGTGGGGGAGAGGGATAAAAGGAAGCAAATGAAAACAATTAATTGGTAGAAGGTCTGGTCATGTGCTGCCTTGGAAGTGGTAATAGAAAATTGGATTTCATTTTGAACAAGATGGGAAGCCTTTGAAACTACTAAATATCTGTTTTATTATCAGGAATAAACATTTATACTGTTTATAAAAGTTTTGGAAATGAATTTGTGGTGTTAGTTTCACAACAGGATTCATACACTTAATGCCACTGAACTATACATGTGAAAATGGTGAAATGGTGAACTTTGTGTTGTGTATATTTCACCACAAATTTAAAACCCTGGGGGTGAATCTTGTGGGCCAGATCCTGTGCAAAGCACTGGTGACTATAAGAACACAAATATGATATAGGCACTCAGAATCTACTTTGAGAAAATATATATCATGCATTACAAATATAAATTCACAATGCAATGTAGCATGAATCATGTCCTAAATGAGAGGGCTAGGCGAGGACTTCACATAGAGTGTTCTCAGAAACATTAGTCTAGAGAGATGCCCTTTGAATAAAAGGATCTTATTCAAATAAGTGTGAGAAATGGTGTGTCCTCTCGCCCCTCATGGAGGTTCCCAGGGCACACAGGCATATCACAAGCTCTAAAATAAGTATACACAAAAGAAACCTGTTTAGCTTTGTTTAACCCAATGTGCTAAACCCTTTTGTTCACAGTACTTTTTCCCACATCACCTATTAACATCCTGAGGTACTAGGTTTCGAAAAAAACGATGCTACTGGAGGCACAAAGCAGAGAGGGGAAGGATTGAGTTCGTGTAGAAACTGAGTCTGAGTTGAGCCCTAAGGAAACAGGATACTTAGATTAGAGAAGAGGAAGGGCATTTCAGGCAGGAGAAAAGTTTAGAAATTCTCTTCAAAGTTAAGTCTCCTGGATCTTGCCTTGTCAAACATCTTTGAGCCACAAAATGACTCTTCTAAGCATACTGACAAAAATCGTAATTTTGGTGATCATTGAATGTTTTTTTTAACACTCAAGATATCTATTCACTAAGATTAATTATTTTGTAGAAGTTTACTTAATTCCTTGTCATTATTTTGTAGATAGCAAAGTTAAGCCCAGAGAGACGATAATGTACTCAGTCACCCCTGCGTAATCAATGGCAGAGTGTTAATTTTCTTTCTCTTAGGCTGGAGACCTGTTCCACGAAGGAAAGAGTTATGGTCTTTTTATGTGTGCAGTAGACATTTTGGAATTAAAGCAAAAAATTGATTCCTATGCAAGATGCAGGTTTCATCATGCAGTGGATATGGAAACAAAATCAAATTAAAGAACAACGCAAGCTTGGATTTTAATGAAGCTCATCTTTGTTTCTTTTGCAGATCAAATTTTTGGCTCTCATCTGCACACAGTGTGTGAACGTGAAAATTCCACAGTTCCACGGTTCGTAAAGCAATGCATTGAAGCTGTCGAAAAAAGAGGTGGGTAACTGAATATGCAGCAGTTTCTCCCCTTACGCCACCCTCTGCACCACCAGTGCTAAGTTCACAGCACCACTCGATTTGTCTGGGAAGCCATGCAATTAAAACCTGACTTTTGTTAATCGGTTAAGAGGATCAAGTTTCTTATTAACTTCAGTTTGTTTTTACAATAGGGACATCAGTAATTCCCACTAATGTTCTTTTTTTTTTAATATTTTGTCTGTCTGACATGTTGTTGATTCAATTGCAAACTTCTTGTTTTCAAGCCAGTGATAAAACATTCATAAAATATCAGCACTCAAAGTGTTAGAACCCTCCTAACATTCGTGCTGGTAGATGTGCCAGAACAATTTTTGGTAAGCCCCCAACATTACCCAAGTGAAGCAAATAGCATTTCCACTTGCAAACAGTGATATTCTATTTTCCACGTGTTTCTGTTCAATCAGAATACGGCTAACTGGTTTTCCTGGAACAATTAACAGATGCACCTCCAATGTTAAGATGAACTTTGATCCTTCTATTTCAACATTCAGTTTTTCATCTGAAATTATCTCATCTTACTAAGGGGAACAAAACAAAACCCAATTGACTCATCATTTCCATGCTAGTCTGTCTGTGAGGTGTTTTTCCTTCAGATTATGACTTCATTCATTCAAGGTCATTTTCCCTGGAAGATACATACAATAGGTGAAGAATGTAAAAAAATATGTATTATATAAAAATATGAAGCTTCATCACCATCTGTTACAAGTTTACAACATATTCCCAGGATCTAGGGGGATATATATCATGTAAAAGACAGAGGTGTTTTCAGAAAAAGAATTGGTGAATCTGTTCACATTTTCAGCTCCCAATCTCTTAAAACAATAGAAGCAAGGAGAAAAAATCTTTACCAAGTTATCTGCTAGGGCAAAGCTATTTTAATTCTCTCAGTGTTACCTGGCTTTATTATAGAAGCATAATAAAAATGGTCTGCAATTTCCAGCTCCTGGAAATTCATACTTTAATTATACTGTAAGGATAGCCTTGGGATCCTATTATTCCCATATCAGTAGGGAATGGAGAATAACAAGAAGGGGATGAGTGGGTAGGGAAAGTGGATAAAGGGAGTGGCTTTGGAGGAACGCATATCAACTCATCAGAGACAAGAGCAGAGAGTTCAGAGCGAGAGGAGAAAACAGTAAAAGCAGAATGAGCACAAGGAGAGATGTCTGTGAGGAATGGAGTCAATTGGAGTTGAGAGAGAAATGTATTTTTACTGCATGTTGCAATCTCATTTAATTTTATAAGTACATATTTGAGGAATAAATATTATTTAATAAGTACTTAAAGCCAAAATGGATCACTGGAAATGTTATAATGTTATTATTGTCAATAGATAAGTTATCACTTTTAAGAAATCTTCATTCACTTATAAATAGTACTGATGATGTGAGCTCTGTTATATTAGAGCAAAAATCCAAATAGGACTTTGGGGGAAGCTGTACATAATGAGATGTGTGCACATATGAAAAAGGACTCTGTACCTCTCTATTCATGTACATACCCCAGGCAAGATGAAAATTCTGCTACATAAAGCCTTGTGGTATGCAGATAGCACAATATCATACAGTAGAAATGCCTGTAAATAGAAACTGTATCCTTTGTTCATGGCATTTTGTGGGAGTTTTTAATAAAATAAGACAATGTTTTTGCTGACAGGAGTAACCATATCTGGCATTATATTTCATTGTCCTGGTGTTTACTCTTAAAATGAATTTGTAGATACAGCACTAAACAGGCACTAATCACACATGATTATTAAAATAATTTCTCAGCATTTTAATGAAACTCAAAGAGCACAGTTCCACAAAGAAACTGATAATTCAAAGCACTTTGGCAGTGTCAGCTTAAAGGAACTCTTTGGAAATGTTCGATAAAAACTCAGAAGCACAAGATAAACCTCTCACATTATTGCAAGATTTACAAGTGTGTACTTTTGATTATATTTTTCTATGATCATTTTGTTGGATTAATATTCTTACATTTATACGCCAATTCTATTTACTCAAAGTGCTGTTTTTACTAAATTCTGGCATAAAGCACCTTAGGACAGAAATAATTTATGTGAATCTAAGTCCAATGTTTATGCAGGCTTCTGATGATATTTTATGCTGGGGTTGGTATTAGGAAGTAGCACAGAAAGGTGCCAAGTCTCTCGGCACGGCTGGGACTCTGCATATCTAGAGCCCTCTTTCTAATGGCCAGATCCTCTTTCAGCCAAGATACTCAACTGCAGAGTCATGGGAAATGTTTATGGACCAGTTATGGGAAAGGCACATTTAATGAAAACTGTGTGTTTACTCTCACAGTCTTAGGGAAATGGCCTCAATATTCACTACAGCAGTACATCGGCTGTTATTTAAAAAAAAAAAGATTTGTTTCCTTTCTCTCTTTTGCTAAGATTATTTCCTAGGCTTAAAAAAATCTATAAACTGTAACTGTATTTTTTTAAATGCTCCTTAAATGTTTTATTTCAAATGAAACAATGTTCAGAAACCAAATCTCACCATTTATTCATTAATTCATCCATTCATCCATCCATCCATCCTTTCATTAATTCTTTCATTCAGTTAGTTACTTGCATGTGGCAGAAGCAAACTGCTCATGCTCTGTGGTCTCCCCAGGGAAACTCTACCCAGTGCTTGGCACAAGATGCATTCCTGGTAAGGTGGTATTAGTTACATTTTAAATTTTGCATCTCTTAGACATGCCTATAAGAAAATCTTTTAGTGAGCCCAATGTAAACCAATTTAGCGAATAACTTGTTTAGTATGTTTCCTTATCTTGATTTAGTTTTCTTCATTCCTCTAACTCACCAGAGCATTTTCTTCCTTACCAACTATTATAACTGGATTAAAATCACTTTTCTGGTTTCTGACACTGCCTGCTCAGCCCAGAAAATACACACAAAACTTGGACGACAAACTGTAAAGGAGCGTGTTAGTCTTCAGGGCTCTTCCCAGTGGCTCTTTCTCTCTTGTCTTGCCTTTACAGTGGCAGACCACGCATATGGGATATCATAAGTGGACAATGGAAAATTCAATTTATGTTCTTTCTTTCAAAGAATTTTCTGTGAAAACATCAAATTATTTTTCAGCTAATACTCAATATATGTGGTAAACTGACCAAAAGCAAGAGACTATCTGACCCACCCTTTTTTTGAGGTCTAGAGGAACAAGCATGTAGTGGTAGGCATTGTGACATACAGATGGCACATAATCTAAACAGTAAGATGTCCATTTTTCACTATTTTATGCATACTTTGTATAGTTCAAGGTGGCTTCAAAAGTATATAGATGTAGCTTACTTAAAAATTGGGCCTTTTGTATCTCTTAGAGACAAGAGACTAGATGGGAAGTAAACAAAGTAAATAGTATAAACTGGTGTAATTAGTATTAGGACCTTAATCCACAGTTCTTTTTATCAAAGCATGTAACTAACAACTCTGTGAAGTTCCATTATTTGAAAAAAGCCATACATACATAATATGTGACACGTTGTAAGCACTCAATAAAGAGTGGTTGAATGAAGTAACAGGCCCTAAGTAACAGGTGTCCATTGCATCACTGCATGTTATTTAGTATTCTCTATGTGCCATTATCTATACCAGTGATTTTTAATCTTTTTCATCTCATGGCACACATAAACTAATTACAAAAAATCAATGGCATATCAGAAAATATATTATTTTTTGCCAATCTGACAAAAATAGGTATAATTTTGATTTATTCACACCAGATAACTATTGTTCTGTTGGCTGTTTTCATTTTTTTTTTAATTTGACAACCTTATGGAAAAGAGGTCAGTGCCCCTGACAAAATAGTTAGGTGTTGCATGTTTTAAAAAGTCTTGTGGCACACCAATTGAAAAATCACTGCTCTATACTACCAGCTGAGAATATGAACAAAATACATGTTAAACAAAAGGACACACACACAAAGCACAAACTGTGATAACTGCTATGAAAGACAAGAACAAAGAATAACCACTACAATTATATTTTTTTATTCTAGGAGATGTTTGCTTTCAAAGGACTTAACTGCAAGTGAGGGAAATGGGGAGAGATGTTGGCCAAAGGGCATGAAGCTGAGGTTATATAGGATGGATAGGCCCAGAGGTCTAATGGACAGACACAAGGACCACAGTTAGTGCTATGTTGAATGATAGAAAGATGCCAAGGGAGAAAATTTCAGATTTTCTCATCACACACACACAGATGGGAGCCGGGTGGAGAAATGACATGTTAACTACCTTGACTATAGTAATCATATCAAATCATCATGTTATATACCTTAGATATATGTAATTTTTATTTTAAAAACTTCAATGACGTAAAAAAGGCTAAATAATAAACACGTACTTGTCTGGTTTTTGTCTCCTGTTAAGACCAGGAGAAGATTAGTTTAGCCTTATTTCCCAGATTATTTTTTCTTGACACATTGTGGCAATAAAATGTAAGGAGTCACTCAGTGTGAGACTCCCAAAAAGATATTCCTGAAGTGGTAAGCCAATCTTTTTCTGCCTAACACCACCAGACATTGTAGAAAACTTCTTTTATGAAATGATGGAGTTGACCAAATAAGTGAGCATATTTCTACCTTAAATGTATTTTTATGCATCCAATAAATTTTTTTTGGTAAATGAGTAAGACCACTTTCTAAAATTATTTTATTTTATTTGGATCAGCATTCAACCTTTTAAATATGATTTAACAACTTATTCTTCCTTCATGATTTTCAGTTCTGGTTAATTTGCCCTCAAACGATTTAACAACATTAAAATGACACCTAGAGATCCATTGCACAACAATTTGAATGTACTCTATGCTTCCGAACTGTACACTTAAAAATGGTTAAGGTGGTATATTTTACGTTATTTTTTAAATTGCAATAAAAAATAAATGATACTAAGTTTTTCAAATTGGATGATTCCAGCTATAAGCTACTCTGTAAAGTGCC